CGTCTATTAACTCTAAAGATGATAGTTTTATTAAAAAATTGTTGTTTATTATCTGTAAAAATGATGTAGTGATTTTACACATTAGCTTCTTTTTTTTTCTTTTTTTTTCCAACAGTTCTCTACAACGATTTTAACTAGAAAAACAATCATAATGCTTTCTGAACAATAAATTCAGGTCCAAATCTTCTATTACCCACACCATACATATATATACTAAAATTTTGTTTCTTTCATAAAACTTGAAGATTCAATAGTAATTACATAGTTTTACCAATCTTGATTCCTACTATATCCATACAAAATACCATATCCATATAATTAACCTATAATTACAAAATACCATATCCAAAGCATTAACCTATAGTTGTTGTATCTCCCACAATTTGTACTTGTTCTCCACATTCAGTTGTCCTCCTGGAGTAGTGTTCTTAGTCATCTTGGTCAAATGGATCTTCAATTGATACAATAGGGTACTACTCACAAATGGCTTGTAATGGTCCTTGAGAGCATTTCTTGAGATGTTTTGGGAACCATCATTTTTCTGTGCAGACAAGCCAAACATAGAAGATATATTAACAGAAAACTCACCTCTTCCTTGAAGTTCATGTCATAGGTTTTATCTTATCCATAAAACTCAGATGCAACAACATCCATTCCAATGACAACCTGAAGAGAAAACAACAAGAATTTTCCCTCAATACTCTTGCAATGTCATCAAATTTTCTTTGTACAAAAACCTTGGTTTGAAAAATAAACCTACTTTGCCTGTGTATCCAGCCTTTTCAATGGCTGTCTTGAGCAATTCAAGACCTTCTTTACATTTCAGTAGAGAGATGTGAAAGGAAAAACAAGGAATAATAGCAACTTCGGTTAAATGATTAGGTTTCATCAAACTATTGTTAACCTGAATATTAGGTGCAAATCCACCTTCGTCACCAACATTAGTTGCATCTTGACCATATTTCTTCTTAATCACAGCCTAAAGAGAACAAAATAGTGAGAGAAAAAATGCCCACACAATTCCTTGCTTGCCACTCAAAAATCAGAATTGTCAAAAGACCAATCTAGATTACTAAAATATTATGATTCCAAGTACCCTAAACTATCCACGTTGTAACTGAAACATAGTAGAAATCTCAATCTGGATTATAAATAGAATTTGAAATGAAACCAACCTCAAAGCCTATGGAAGACATAGCCAACCAT